TTTTTTTAGATGGGGTTTCACCATGTTAGGCTGGTCTTGAACTCCCAACCTCAGGTGATCCTCCCGCCTTGGCCTCCAAAGTGCTTGGATTACAGACATGAGCCACCATGCCCGGCCTTGCTTACTTTTTTTTAAGCAACAGAATCTTACTCTGTTGCCTAGGCTATAGCACAGTGGCATTATCATAGCTCACTGAAGCCTCAAACTCCTGGGCTCAAGAGATCTTCTCATCTTGGCCTCCTGAGTAGCTGGGACTACAGGTGCACACAACCACACCTGGCTTTTTTAAAAATTAAAAAAAAATTTTTTTTTTTTACGAGATGAGATCTAGCTATATTGCTCAGGGTGTTCTTGAACTCATGCCTTTGCCCATTTTTAAATTGGGATGCTTGTCTTTTTATTGTTGAGATTTAGGAATTCTCTGTTCTGGTCAATACACCCTTAACAGAGACGTGATTTACAAATATTTTCTCCCATTCTGTCTTTTCACTATTTTGATAATATCCTTTGAGATGCAAAAGCTTTTTAATCTTGATGAAGCCCAATTTATTTTTCTTTTGTTGCCTATGCTTTTGGTGTCATATTTAAGAAATCTCTGCCAAATTCAAGGTCATTAAGATTACATCTATGTTTCCAAGTTTTATGTTTTAGCTCTTAAATGTAGGTTTTTGATTCATTTCTAGTTAGTTTTTATAAATGATGTAGGAGTCCAACTTCATTCTTTTACATGTGAATATCCAGTTGTCCCAGTACCATTTCTTAAAGAGGCTGTCCTTTCTCCATTGAATGGTCTTGGTACCACTTTCAAAAATTGCCCATATATGTGATTATTTCTGGACTCTCAATTTTATTCCATTGGTCTGTCTTGTCACCCTTTGATTACTGTAGCTTTGTAGTAAGTTTTGAAATCAGGAAGAGCGAGTCCTCTAAGTTTCTTCTTTTACTTTCTTTTTTTTGAGATGGGTACTTACTCTGACACCCAGGTTGGAGTGTAGTGGCACGATCTCAGCTCACTGCAACCTTTGCCTCCCAGGCTCAAGCGATCCTCCCACGTCAGCCTCCTGGGTAGCTGAGACTACAGGCATGCACCACCACACCCAGCAAATTTTTGTATTTTTGGTAGAGATGGTGTTTTGGTCATGTTTCCCAGGCTGGTGTTGAACTCCTGAGCTGAGGCAATCCACCCATTGGCCTCACAAAGTGCTGGGATTATAGGTGTTGAGCTACCAAACCCAGCCCTTTCTTCTTTTTTAAGATTTATTTTGGCTATTCTGGGTCTCCTGAAATTTCATATGAGTTTTAGGATATGTTTTTCCATTGGGATTTTAACAGAGATTGCTCTGAATCTGTATGTTGCTTTGGGTAGTATTGTTATTAACAGTATGAAGTCTCTAATTCATGAACATGGGATATCCTTCCATCCTTATATCCTTCTAATTTTTTTTTTTTTTTTTTTTTTTTAGTAGGGATGGAGTCTTACTCTGTCACCCAGGCAGGAGTACAGTGGTGCAATCATGGCTCACTACAGCCTCAACCTCCTGGGCTCAGGTGATCTTCCTGCCTCAGCCTCCTGAGTAGCTGGAACTATAGGTTCACACCACAATGCCTGGCTAATTTTTTTGTTTTTTAATTTTTTTTTTTTTTTTTGGAGAGACAGGGTCTCACTATGTTGTGCAGGTTGGTCTTGAACTTCTGGCCTCAAGCGATCCTCCCACCTTTGCCTTTCCTTGTAGTAGCTACTGGGGCTTATACTTTGATTTGTTTGACTGAAAGATATTGTGAGAGGTTTTGTGGCTTGGAGTTATTGAACTTTGCTGGCTTAGACAATATTGATGCCATCTTTCTTCAAGAAGGAGAATGGTGTATGTTTTAGAAGTGGATGGTTACAAAGCCTTATGTGGATTTGGGTCCATGTTGTTCACATGCAGATCAGTTGGTTAGTTTCCTTCTCTCCTTATCATAGTCGAGGCTACCCACCACAACCTGATAACAAGTTGTTAATGAAAAAGGAAGGGACCACGGCTGTTATAGCTTATGCAGGAGTCTTGGTTGACCATATGGTTCTAGCCAGGGCATATCTCTTGTTGGTTGGCTGGACCCACCATGGGAGATGGAGGCCTCAGAATTATCTAGAAGTGGTAGAAGACTCGTTATACCTCTATGCAGGAAATGTCTGACATCTGTGAGCAAGTGGCAACATGGGAATCACAGTGCAGGGACACCAAGCACTAGTTTTTTATTGACCTTCTGTTTTCTATGCTTGCACCTACAGGTCCCTGACTACGGCTCACCAGAGCCTGCCTTCATCTAGGATGGCTCTTCTGGGCAGGCTCCTTGGGCTGCTGATGGCCACCTGCCTCACCTTCTGCCTCAGTCATCAGAACCCGGTAAATGTCTTACTGCAAATGGGAGGGATCCCTGATGAGGTCTGAGAAGGCCTCCCTCTCACCAGGGGTGCTGTGGGAGTAGGGTGGGCTTTTATGTTTCTTATGTGAGTGTGGCTGGCAGTGGATCATGGAGTAGGTAGACTTCTTCCTCCCCATCCCTGTGTCTTCTGGCCTTTGTTTGAAGCTTATGGCATTGTTTCCCTTTGGGAAAAAGATGATCATGATGATAAATTAATATAATCTTCCATGTACCAAACCTTGTAGTGAGTACTTTATATGTATTCTCATTTAATCCTCCCAACAACACTATGAAGTAGGCAACTACAGTTTTTATCCTCATTTTGAGAAGACTAAAACTCAGAGACATTAAGTAACTTGGCCAAAATCACACAGCCAGTCAGTTTGTGAGAGTTGTGAATGTCACAATTCTTCTCAAAAGCTGAGTGCCTGTGTGGTGGGCATCAGTTCCAAGTAAGACTTTTTTTTTCCCCCTCTACTCCTCTCTTCCTTGTACTTTCTCAGTTTATCTCTATCTCTGTTCTCCTTCCTTTTGTCTGTAGCTCCCTGTTCTTTCTGGACCACTCTTCATTAACCTAGACCTCACTGCTCAGGGCTTCTGCCATTGCCACTGGCAGGAGGAGAATACGCAAAAAGGCCCTGAGCTTGGCCTGGTGCAGCACACTACGGTTCCTGGCCCTGTTTCCTTGGCTTGTCCCAGCAACAGCCTGCCCTTGACTAGCCCCTAATGCCCTCCCTCTCTTCTCCCTTGAGAAGCTCTCACTGTCAGTTCTTTGACAGTTTCACCCTTCCCTGTCCACCTTCCCCAACCCCCAGGGCTCCCACTAAATGTTAGATAAAGAGCTGGAAGCTCTGGAGCCGGAGGTCCTTGAAGTGCAAATGACAATTCTGATGAATTTAATAACAATCCAGCTTAGCTGTGGTTCACCTCTGGCTCATGGCAAGCTTCCACCTTGTCTCTGAAATCATTTGTTTTCTCTCTGCCTTTCTTCCCACTTTGTGGAGCAGGAGAAAACGTACAGTTAGGAGTCACGAGACCTCTTGAGTTTTTAATGCTCTCTGAGATCCTGTTGGTGCTGTTTATTTGTGTCTTCTTCAAGGACAGTTTGAATGGGTTCCCAGAGGCCCCTGAGAATGGGACTGGCTACAGCACGAGGTTGGGGCTGTCTCTGGCATGAGTTGGAGATGGAATGGCCCAGAAAAGAGCCTTGAGGGACCAGGGTCGTGTCCCCTCCCCAACTTTGTAGCTTATGAGGATGCCGTGCTCCCCATTGTGAGCTTTAGCAGATGCACAATTAACAAAGGCATGCTGATGAATTTACTTAAGGACTGAGTTAGGAAGTCCCTTTTGGATAATAGTCCAACCAAATAGATGAGCTTTCAGAGCATAATTATTCTGGCCCATTTATATTAGCTCTATTGAGTCTAGTCTCAGAAAAATGTTAATACTGACTTTCATCAACAGAAGCTGCTTTTATCCTTATGTCTGTTCCTAAGCTGTATCCATTTGTCATAATCTTTCATCATGTGCTAAGCACAAGTAGGAGTTGAAGCATCTTTTCTCTCATACCATAAAAATTGCTGCCCTGATGTCATTTAAAAATCTAAATTACATAGCCAGCCACCTTCACAACAGTGAAAATGGAGTGGAGGTGGTTATGATCCTTTCTTCGGAGCCTGGAGTCCAGGTAAGTGTTCCTGATGACCTGGAATTGTCCTCCCGAAAGGCATTTGGGCAGGTTGATGCCCACCTAGGAAAAGCCAGCTGTGTGTATCACAGTATGATCTGGAGCCAGCCTTCCTCCCTGGCTCCTGCTGTGGCACTTCCCCAGGATGCCACATGTCAGGAGGCATGTAGACACTGAAGGGCTGTGGTTGCATGTTACTGGGCTTTAGAAAGGTGGTAAACAATGGGGGAAGGTACAGTAGTGGAGCCTTGTGGAAGGAGCACAGGCCCTTCGTAAGATCCCTTTGCCTCTCACTTTGGCAGTTTGACCCTTTCTGAGCATTGTTTCCTAATCTGTAAAATAGTATTGGTACCTCCCTCTTAAGGTTTTAGTGTAGATTCAATGTGATTATATATAAAGCACCTGGCACTGAAACTGGCCCGATGTGGCCAGTAAATGGTTAATACATGTCAGCTGTTAATTTTTTAGTATTGTAGTGCTGCTTCTGTGGTTTAATTTGGGCTCTGTCAGGCAGGCTTCTGTCCCAAAGTGTTGCCCTGGCAGTCTGTCTCTGTTACAGTGTCTATCAACCCACCATTAGAGATTCATTCATTCTCTTGGATCTTGTAGGCTTTGGTTTTTAAGAATCTCTTATTCGGATGCAAGTGCAAGAAAGTGTGACATGGTAAGCTGTTGTCAGCTAACGCCTTATATAGCATTTCTTGCCAGTCACTTGAGAGGAAACTTGTATTTGAAGTGATGGTGATAGGGAGAAGAGAGTGCTCATAATCTAGCTTGGAAGGGAGCCCTGAGGAGCCAGCTAGGAAGGCACCAGAGCACGGGTTTATTTCACAGCTGACCAAGGGCTGGCCTGCGTCTCTCTCTCCTGTTCAGAACACCGCCTAGGCAGAGTGAGGCTAGTTGTGCTTGTTCTTTCTCTTGGACTGTGGTTTCTTACCTGACCCATGGAAGTCTTTGCCAAGGAAGGGCCTGGGCTGGTAGGTATACTAAGTGATCTCATTGTCCCAGCATCATTCCGTCAGCTCTCAGGGCACAACTTATTAGTACATCTGACCATGAAACAATCATAGAAGTGAGTCAAAACTTATGTATGGGCTTTGGAGCCAGGCAGGTCTGGACTTTAATCTCTGCTCTGCTTTTCTGAGCAGCATGATTTTGAAAAGCCCCATATCTGTCCTCCTATAGGACCAATATGATGTGCTTCACCGATGAGACTTGGATGAATTGAGGCATGGAAGGCATCTTGTCCCGGTGCCTGACATATGATCAGGGCTTAATAAATGGTAGCTGCTGTTAACATTACAACCTCATCCTCCTGATGCTGCTTCTTTCAAAACCTCTGGAACTCTGCTTTTGAACTCACTGTCCAGCTTGTGGTTTGTTCGTATCAGTGAACCTCTCTCAATGCTTCTGAGCCCTTGGCCTTTGAGGATAGCTAGGTGTGATTTGGGCAAAGCATCTAAAGATTGTCATAGCCAGGTCGGGTGAACAAGGTGAGCATAGATTGGGGAGTATCAATTTTGTGTCAATCACCACTAAGGGGATTGGTGTACTTTAAAATAATGACAGATTTTGTGTTTGTGTCATAAAATCTGGTTCAAAGATGATACCAAAAGGAGGTACAAAAAATATTTTGAACAGTGACAGGATTGTTGCAAGAGTCTGGCCTCCTTAGGACTCGAAGCATGTAGTTCAGCAGTTTCATTCTAACCCTCCTCCTTGAATCTACTCCATTAATCTTGTTAATGAAACCTAGAAAAAGAGGCTTTCCTAACCCTTAGTAGTTAGAATGAACATCAGCCTACCTGGGTTTTGAAGGGCTTCCTGTGCTACCTTCTTATCATCACCATCTCCCTTTCCCCTTTCTGCTTCTCTTGATGATGAGAATTTGGCTGCTTGCTTACAGCCTGCCAGGAATTATCGGGCTAATACGTAAACTGAAGTAAGGATGGAGGCGTGGCATGGTGGCTCATGCCTGTAATCCAAGCACTTTGGGATGTAGAGGAGGGAGGATTGCTTGAGTCCAGGAGTTCAAGACCAGCCTGGGAAACAGGGAGACCTTGTCTCTACTAAAAATTAAAAAAAAAAAAAAGTTGCAAGTTGATGCTTAGATATTTTAGTTTGGCCCGTTTAGTGTTCTAAAAATAAGAACATTTCACATAGAAATCTGGTTTTCTGTTTTCAAGTTGAATCCCTGCATGACAGTGGTAGACCAGCGGAGTAGCAGCTGCTTCCCTTAGGAAGGAGGCAGGAGGGCTCCGGTTTCTATAGTCCCACCACTCCCTGTTGTTTACACCTGGTCCACTGATTTAGTGGCATCCCTGCTTGGCCCCTGGGGCATTTTATTGACACACCTCCAAGGTAAATTTTATTAACCACCTCTTCATCTCTCAGTCTAGTGCTTCTAGCTAGGGGTGACCCTAGTATATCTAGACCTGGGTACTTAGCAGACAGGGTGGTCTTGTTCTGGAATATGAGGTGAGTACCTGCAGCACACTCAGGTACTTTGGGCTTTCTTCAGTCTAAGGCGCCCAAAAGACACGCCTGCCTATGGGAAGGGACATTCATTCATCTGTTTGTTCAGCAGTTTCAAACTAAGCCCTGTGCTAGGCATGGGGGCATGAGACTGACATGGTGCCTGCCCTCTGGAAACTTAGCTGTTGGAAGTCCTTGATGTCCATGTCCTCAGAATGGAGGGTGCCTCCTGCCAGTCTGTCTTCTCTGTAGTCTCATAAGTACACCTACTCTTCTATTCCTAGTTTTTTTTTTTTTTGAGCTCACAGTTGTGCAAACTTTAAGCTGAAGGGATAGGAGGGGTTTGAGGCACCAGGCTGCGCAGGTGACCTGCTTGAATGATGCCATATTGTATAGTCACTCCTGGTTGTCACAGCACAGCCTCATCCAGCCTGGAATCTGTGTCTGCCTTTGTAAGTAATAACAGTAACAGCTACCATGTACCCAGGGGCAGTGGTTTACAATGTAGTACCTCATCTAATCTGTGAGCTAGATGTTATTATTTTCATGTTCAAAATTTAGGAACTGAATCTTAGAAAGTTATATAACTTTCCAGAGTCACGAGAAACTGGGATTTGAATTATTCCAGCATCTTAACCACTATGCTGGAGTCAGTGCCTCTCATTACTTGTGGTGTGATTTGAGAGCTTCTTCTTGCCAAGATATTTTCCTTATTGGTCCTTAGTAAGGCCTGAAATTCTGCCATCTAAATTTCATGCCTTTATTTCTTGTTAAAATGTAAAAATTCTTGGAGGGGTCTACACTGTCATCACCAGTACCTTAGCATTTTAACCTTTCCTCTGACAACTAAAGATCATTGAGGGTCCCAGGTAGGAGGGAGTTCTTATCTGGAGCGAAACACTTTATTTTATTTTATTTTTTTGACACAGGGTCTTGTTCTGTCACCTAGGCTGGAGTGTGGTGGCACCATCTCAGGTCACTACAGCCTCTGCCTCCTGGACTCCGATCCTCCTGCCTCAGCTGCCCAAGTGGGACTATAGGTGTGTGCCACCATGCCCGGCTAATTTTTTTGTATCTTTTATAGAGACAGGGTTTTGCCATGTTGGCCAGGCTGTTTTGAACTCTTGGGCTCAAGTGATCCACACACCTTGGCCTCTCAAAGTGCTGGGATTATAGGCGTGAGCCACCGCTCCCAGCCAAGAATGAGGTGTTATTTGAAAGTTAACTAACTTTCCAGATGTATGCATATCTCCCAGGTGTGGTTAGAATTGTTGGGAGACCAAAGTGAGATTTATGTAAAGTAACCAGCATGGATTCAGGCTCATAGGAAGATTCCAAGAAATATACTTCTTATTGCTAGGAGAGAGATTGGGAAGCAGAGAAAAAGTGATGACCAGGGAGACGGGCAAGCTGAAATATCTCCCTATGTGCCAATGTGGGTTCCTCCTTGCTTTCCCAAATGCAATTTCCCAGAGTTCTGGAACCCTCTGGTTCAAATTTCCTGAGGTCTTATTGCTTTTATGCAAGAACAGGTTTAAAAATGGGATAGGAAGGATGAGAGTCCAGGAAAGAGCAAAATGAATAATACTTTGTATTTATCTTGCATCACTGTCTCCCGAGCTGAGAATGCTCCAGAGACACCATCTCATTAGTCCTCTATGTTCTGTGCAGGGTGGAAGGAAACAGGTTTTAGGAAGTGGTTTCCAACCTGAGCATCTTCCTCCCTTAGCCCAGCTGGATTCCCACCTTCCCACTTGTACCCTTCCTGCGTGGTTTGAATGGCTCATAGGCACTCTGGGGAATTGTGCCCTGCTGGGCTCCTTGGGACTCAGTTGGGCCTTAGCTGCCAGCTTTTGTACATCTGTAGTGACCATTTGAGGCCTTACTCTCCAATTTACATATGTGTTTTTTTCTTTTCTAAATATGTTTATTTTTATTGTAAACATAATACATGCGAGTTTTAAACATCAAACAGTATAATAGCATGTCAGAAAGTAAAAGACTCTTATTGTTTCCTTTTGCCAGCCCCTGTCCCTAATGTGTTCCCTTAACTTGCTCAAGATACCATGGGATCTTCTAGAGTCATTCCCTATGCGTTTTCAAAAGTGCCACTTACATATGTGACAACGTGTGTTTGTTTAGCCCTATTACTTCATACGTGCTGGTTCTGAGACTGACCTTGTGAAAGGAATTGTGGGTGTCCAGACATGTCTGGCTGTTGGGGAGGGGGCATGGAGGAAAAGAATGTGCCACCTCAGGCCATTTTCTTTCTGTTTACCTGGGGCCTAGTTGTGGTGGGTCATGCCCTGTGTTTTCTCTTCTCAGAAGGAGTTTGCCCTGACCAACCCAGAGAAGAGCAGCACCAAAGAAACAGAGAGAAAAGAAACCAAAGCAGAGGAGGAGCTCAATGCCGAGGTCCTGGAGGTGTTCCACCCGACACATGAGTGGCAGGCCCTTCGCCCAGGTACCAGGCCCAGCCCTGTCCCCACAAAACACACTCTGAATTCAAACTACATATGTCCTTTGTCCCCACTGGGCTGCTCCTTCAGGCTGCTCACCTCTGGCCTGTGGGAGGGGAATAGCATGGTCTGTCAGAGTGGTAGCTGCTGCTGCAGGACTCAGGGACCTTCATTTTCCAGCAGAACAGAGATTGCAACATCTGAGTGCCCTGGAAGGAAGGCAGGTGGTGGGTGGCCATGGTTTCTGAGCAAGTGATTGAAAACTTTCTTTCCTTGCACTTCTGAAGCACTGGAGAGGCAATGACATGTGCCTCGCTCTGCAAATGCTATTTTGGGCTCTGCTGCTCGGCTCAGTGCTGCTGAAATATTGTTCATGGGAGAGTCCTGAGCACCAGTGTGGGGCAGGAGTGTTCTGTTGTTAAACCTGTTCCAAGAAACAGGGGCTGGTCCTGGCCTGGTTTTTAAATAGTGCATCCTCAGAAGAAACAATTTTCTAACCCTTTCATGAGCCTGGGCCCAGGGCTTAAAATAATGAGAATAGTCAGCAACTGCAGAGTCTTTACCATATTCAGGTACTGTACTAGGTGCTTTGTATGCATAATCTTGTTTAATTTACACTATAATAGGAACGATTACTATCTTTATGTTCAGGTGAAAGCATTGAGGCTCGTGTGGTTAGGTAACTTGTCCTATGTCATCCAGCTAACTTGCCCTGTGCCATTGACCCCAGAGCCTGGGCCCACTGTCTTCCTACGTCTTCCCAGTCCTAGCTGTCCTTGGCTGGTGCCTACTTTACTGACACCTGGGACTGTCCTCAGGAGTGGCAAGGTGGATAGCAAACCCTGGCAGCTTCCACAGTGTAGTTTCATCACCTCCTTGCTGATATTCATCACCATGTCCTCACTGCCCCCACTGCTGCTGTGCTGTCAGGGCAGCATTTGCTGTGCCAGCCAGCTTTCTGGTAGCAATATTGCTCCTGCTGGGTTTGCACATGGGTAGCTGCTGCCACAGAAGAGTGATGAAGCAGCGAGGAAGCCAATTGGGAGCTAATGGCATTGAGCAGAGGGAACTTTTAGGAATAGAGGTACTGGGTTCAACAGATCCAACCTCTGCCTGCCATCACCCACCCCTCCCCGACCTGGCTTCACTTGAGACCTGAGCCCCACTGGTCCTTAAGGACTACAACCAGAGGCTTTCAGGGGTAGGGCATGGAAGATACATACTATCCCCTGTTTTTATGTACCACTTTTTATGTACACTTGCTTGTACCACTTTTATTTTTTTGAGACAGGGTCTTGCTCTGTCACCCAGGCTGGAGTCCTGTGTTGCGATCTCAGCTCACTGCAGCCTCTGCCTCCTGGGCTCAGGTGATCCTCCCACCTCAGCCTCCAGAGTAGCTGGGGCTATAGTTGCAAGCCACCACACCCAGCTAATTTTGGTATTTTTTGTAGAGACAGAGTTTTGCCATCTTGCCCAGGCTGGTCTTGAACTCCTGAGCTCGAGCAGTCCACCTGTCTCAGCCTCCCAAAGTGCTAGGATTACAGATGTGAGCCACCATGCCTGGCCTTGTACCACTTTTAACCACGCAAGTTCCCGGAGCAGATGGAAGTCAGTGTCCTGTGGCCTTGACTCCTACCCTGTCTGTTCCTGTGGTTGAGTCAGTAGCTCCCTTCAACCAGTAGCATCCTGATTCATGTTGCAGACTGAACAGTGATGACAGTTCTGATCCTGGCCCCTTGCCCAGCCCTCGGGGCAGTGGGGCTGCTATTAAAGCCTAAAGAAAAGAGCCCCTCTCTGTATCATTGGGGAGGGACATCCAGAGCCTGTGTGATAAGAGTGGGCTGTGGACTCTGAGAGACTCCCAGAGAACTGGAGTAGAGCACTGATTTTTACGGTTAACTTGATGTTTCATTGACGTCACCCTCTGCCTTGGAGTTTCTCAAGAGTCTCTAGTAAACTCTTCTTTACAAAATTCCCTTGGAGTTCTCCCAAAGGCTGGTGTGTTGCAGTTACACCTAGACACAGAGGCCCTATAGCTCAGAGGGCTAAGCAACTCTGGCTCCAGTCATGCCTGCCCCATCCCAGGAGCATTTTTTGCCTACACCGCATCTCAAAAGCAGGACTGGTGAGGGGAGGTTAGGTGGGAGGCTTGTTCTGGCCTCGGTGTCTGATGTGGGGTGATTAAGAGTCTGGCGTCATGGCGTCAGACCAGTGGAGGCCCCAGTACAGGATTGACGTGTTTTCTGTGTATACTGTTAGGAAATTCAGGGGGCTGTGTGGATAGCTGGCACATGTGTTCAACCAGATTATGATACCTTAATTTACCACATTCTGAATTTTGCCTGGGAGCTTGCAACACATCTACCTAAAGGTTAAAATAAATGTAGTCAGTCCTGGGAACTGAATGGGTAGGTAAATGGGGAGGTGGTATAATTTAGTGGTAAAGAGGACAGACAAGACTCAGCCAGTTCTGGGTTCAGATCCTAGCTTTGCTACTTAGGGGATCTTGGGCAAGTCATGGAATCCTTCTGTTCTTTGGTCTTTCTCATTGGTGGCATGGGGGAAGTGTCCTGCCCTGCCTGCTGCAGAGGCTGTTGTATGCCATGAGACGGTAGATGTAAAGCCCTCTGCCCACTTCCTAACATGGAGAAATCAGTCAGTACACAGCTGTTCTGATTTTCAGTGGTAAATTTTCCACTTAGCCACCCCCTCAATCCAATTGTGGAATCATTGGATGCCAGTGAGGGTACATGAGCATGTCAGTTTCTGTCCCTATAACTTTACATGGGGAAGGGAACTTATGATGTGAAGAAGAGACTTGCATGTTCATGCAATGTCCTCCCTTCCTTAACAGAGACTTTGATCACAGAGCAAGGGTAAGCACGAGCAAAAAGGGCTAGCAGAGTGTTTCCTGTCTAAGAGTCAGTGGCATGGCACAGGAAGGTGGTGGACTTAAGAAAATGGCAAGTTTATATGAATAGTTATTGTCCCCCATTCAGTACCTTCTGTCCCCCAGGACTCTTAAGGGAGGACCACAGCTCTGTTGTCCTTAGGCTCCCAAGTGGGGAACTGGGGTTCATGGGTTGTTTTGGCTGTGCTAATTTGAAAGCAGATTTCCAGACTGCCTGCTGCCTGGAACACCAGGGGACCAACCCATGACTTCATGGGCCTTCTCTGCAGTCCAAGTAGGAATTGGGCCCTGGCCACTCAGTCCTGGAACAGCTGTAGGTGAAGCTCCTGAAGTCTACCTGCCTCTGTTATTACTGTCAGCATCCTCACTGGGAGCCACTTGTTCCTAGAAGTGATTTTCCTGTCTCTTTCTTCTGGTTTATTTTGGGATCTGCCTCACCTTAAAGAGGCACAGCAAGCATTTGAGTGTGGATACAGCATCAGCTGTTCACAAGCAAGCAGAGCAAAGCTGTTTGCTGGCGGGTCCTGTGGGTTCTGGGCAGGGAACTCAGGAATTTGTCCTGGGGCTGAGGACCCCTGAACACCAGGACTTTGTGTCTGTGTAGCTGGTATTACAGAATGCCAGTCACAGCCAGCTTCAATGGGTTCCTGCCCCCTGGGCATCTTCTGAGATCCTACTTTGTGCCAAGCATCATCTATAGCCAGAGATATAGATAATAGTTCACGTTTACTGAGCATTGACTCTGCCAGGCTTCCTTTGAGGACAGGCGCTATAACTATCCTTATTTTTACAGATACAACTGAGTCTCAGAAGAAAGGACTTAGCCAAATAACCAAAAAGTGATAGAGTCGGAACTGAAACCTAGATTTGTCTGACTCTAAGCCTCAGCTCCTAACCACTGTGCCATATTATCTTGTAGCAAAAAGGACATGACCCCTGCCCTCTATTCAGCTCATAATCTTACAAAGGATACAGAGACAAAGACAAAAACAGCCACCAAAGCATTTTGGATGTCCTGGTGGAAGTGTTTTTTGCTCAGTGAGGGCATAAAGGATGGTATGGCAAGGCCAGGGCCTTCTCTCTTTAACCCTGAGATCTGTGTGGGGCAGCTCATCAAATTTTATGATGCTGAATCTCCAACTCCACCTGCAGCTCTCTTTTTGAGCTCTGTGGCCTTGCTCAGGTTGCTTAGAATCTCAGAACCTTAGTTTCCTCATCTGAAGATAGGGATGAAAATACAATACTTCACAGAGATGATGTGAGAATGAAACAAGGTTAACATGTAAAATGTTCAACACAGGGCCTGGCACATTGGCCATATTCAATGGCTATAGTTGTCATTAAAAAATATATACCTTTGTTCTGGGTATGGTGGTGTGCGACTGTAGTCCCAGCTCCTCAAGGGGCTGAGGTAGGAGGGTTGCCTGAGCCCAGGAGTTTGCATCATTGGTACCTGTAAATAGCCAGTCAGAGGCACTCCAGCCTTGGCAACATAGTGAGACACTGTCTTTTTAAAAACATGTATCTATGTATTTACATCTTTGCTACCTCTCTTTCCTTGGGGACCTGAAGGAGAAGTGGAGATAAGGAGGCATCCTTGGCAGAGGCCCCCTTGTTCTGCTCGTTAGCCAGTGCTGCATGTTGGCCCCACGTGGGCTCAGGGAAGCATAGCTAGGCACAGACCTGGGGCTCCTTATTGACCTGATCTGACTCCAGGTGCCTGTGAGAGTCTCTGAAATACTGGCATTAGCACAAAGAGCCCACTCAATGTGAGCATGCAGGAAGCCTGTGCAAGAACACGTTCATATGAGGGGGGAAAAAAAAGAAAAAGAAAAAAAATCCAAATCATCAACAACTGATGAGAGCAATCCAAGAATTATAGAGCACCAGCCATCTGGTCAGATCATTTCAGATCTGCACGAGCAATAAGAGGGAATTGAATTTTAAAAACCTCATTTATAGTAGACCAACTACTCTGGTTTCAAGCATTTAAGAGAGGAGTCTGATTTCCTGCAGGCTCTGGACATCTGTCTGAAGGAGCACCTGACTCTGGTCTGGGTGACTCTGTGACACTGTTTGCAGCTTTGGAGGGGC